TACAGCAGATAATCGAGTATCAGGTTCATACGATGCATGTTCGCAAAGAATATTTAAAAAGCAATCCTACATATAAATAATTTAAAACTATTTCGCAGAAACATTTTGAACATTTAATTACATAAAAAGTCAATGCTTGTTTGATTATGCTTCTTCCTTCTGTTCCTTGCGACCGCACTCTTCTGGAATTGTTGTTCGCGCCTCATCTCTCTTCCTCGCATGTCTGACGTGCTTAAGGACAAAGGTAATCTTGCCCTTAAGGAAGGCGATTACAAGTCTGCAGTCGGTTTTTACTCTCAAGGAATAAATGCTGACCCCGAAAATCACGTGCTTTACAGTAATCGTTCCGTAGCCTATTTTAAGTCTGGCGACTACTCCAAAGCCTTATCGGATGCTGATGAATGCGTTAGGCTCAATGTCAACTGGTCTAAGGGTCACTCAAGGCGCGCATCTGCCTTAGAAGCATTGTCAAGATACCAGGAGGCTCATGAAGCTTATTCTCAAGCTCTAAAGCTAGATCCAGGCAACGAGCAATTGAGCTATAACCTGGAGCTTGTGTCATCTAAGTTTGCCGCACAATCCTTAAAGGAAAAACTTGCTTTTGACCCCAAGCTAAGAGGAAAGATGTCTGACCCTGACTTTGCCAGTAAGATTAAATTCCTCGAGGAAAACCCTATGCTTCTCGCTAGCCTTTCCCAAAATGACTATGACATGAAAAATTTACTTCATACACTGGGTATGGACGATGCCGATAATGGTGCTAGCGAAGAGGATACCGTCTTAAACAAGGGCAAACAGAAGACTCCTGAACCGCGGTCAGTTCTTTCCGACGAACAAGAAGAGTCCTTGAAAGCAAAAGAGCTTGGGAACGCTGCCTACAAAAGACGAGATTTTGAGCTTGCTCTACAACACTATGATAAGGCTATCGAAATTGATTCGTCTAATATGAACTTTTATCTAAATAAATCCGCAGTCTACTTTGAGCTGGGTGAGTATCCCAAATGCGTCGAGTTATGTGAAAAGGCTGTTGAAGTTGGAAGAGAGCAGAGGGCAGATTACAAACTCATCGCGAAAGCCTATGCAAGGGCGGGTTCTTGCTTCGAAAAGACTGCTGATCTTGTGAACGCAAAAAAATACTATGACAAGTCCCTCTCCGAATTTCGCGCCCAGGATATAATCAAAAAGGCCCAACGGATAGATAAGGAGTTAAAAGAGCAAGAAAGGCTTGCATACATTAGTCCAGAACTTTCGGAAATTGAAAAAAATAAAGGAAACTCTGCATTTACTAGAGGGGATTGGCCTGGAGCTCTCAAGCATTACAGCGAGGCTATACGCCGAAACCCCAGTGACCCAAAGATTTACAGTAACCGGGCTGCCTGTTATACCAAGCTAATGGAATTTCCAATGGCTCTTAAAGATTGCGACAAATGCATCGAACTTGCGCCGGAATTTATCAAAGGATATCTTCGCAAGGCTGCGTGTCTTGTTGCCATGAAAGACTTTGGTGCAGCCAGGAAGGCGTACAGGTCTCTGTGTTATTTGCTTGCTTCTTTATAATCCTGATGTTTTTTTTGAAACCTTTTATCTGTTTCAGGAAGGCCCTTGAGCTTGAACCGAATTGTGAAGAGGCCCGTGAAGGTCTATTTCAATGCTTCTCTTCAGACACCGACCCGGCGTCAGTTCGTGAGCGAGCAATGAATGATCCCGAAGTGGCATCTATTTTATCGGATCCAGCTATGCGGATGATACTAAGTCAAATGGAGGACCCCGCAGCACTCAGAGAACACTTGAAAAACCCTGATATAGCCTCTAAATTGATCAAGCTTATTGATGCTGGATTGATTTCTCTTCGCTAAAGTTTTGTATTCCTAATAGTACCAATTATTTTTCTCTGCATTGAGTGGCTTCTTCACCTTATTTTGGACTAAGCTTTTAATCTAAATGAGGTATCATTTTTCGATCTGTCGTACTCGTGTCTCTATTCATGCTGCAAACGTGTCCCTCTGTGCCTATGCCAGTTCTGATATTTCTTTATACTCGTAACCTGGTTTTCATGAAGAATGGAAGTATTAGAGTAACGATCGGTCAAGCAGCCGAATTTTCCTACTTTGTTCATTTTTGACCCCCGAGTATGCGAGACTGTACCAGCCAGACAATTTTAAGTCGGTCCCATCGGATGCCAGCCAAATCCGAGTTTTTAGTTTTCCGATGGCTTTTTATATTGGTTTCATCGCATTTCTATTCTTACCCGGTATTTGTTAATGTCAATTAGTTGTTACCGTGACATTTGCTCACGTCCGTTCTGGTCGTCGGACCAAATCATCTTAGTAGTAGCACAGCTCTGGCATGTGTATCGGTGCACCTTAGTTGCTACATGTGTTCGGGATATCATGAGAGCAAGGTAATAGGTTTTCAATTAGGATATCGTTTCTGGCCCTGTCGGTTGTGCTATATGCCTTAAGTCTGCTACAGATTACTCAAAAACGCGGGCTGGCCTCACAAAAATTCTCGCCGAGACTGCGATTTCCTCTTGAAGGTTACGTCAAAGTTGATCAAATCGCACTAGGCTTTGACGATTCGGCCTTCTCTATTAAGTTCAACCACAAATCTTTATAGATGAGGATAAACCCAACTTTGGTTAATATTCAAGTGGGTCGACCTCTTCGCAACCTGGTCCTGTTGTCAGGACGACTTAGTAGAACGCGCCTATTCCAAAGTCGTCTGCCATAGTAGTTGTCATGATTTCAAGCAGCAGACTTAGTACATTCTCGAACTTATATCAGAACAGAAAGAGGAATGATAGTGTTACCGTTTTCGGCGGAACGTTTGTCGAGGGATTGACTTCACTTCTCTCTGACGAGTTCGTAGCTTGGTGCGGAGAATGGCAAAACTCACTGATAGTGCCGGCGAAACGTTTGACAACGTACTAAGTCCACTGTCTGATGCTTGGAATCTAGGTGCATTCTACAAAGTCGCCCTGACAACAAGACAAGTTGCGACAACGAGGTCAACCCACTTCGAAAGGAGATTGCGGCCATACCAGAGGCCACAACATCTTGTTCTTCATATCTTTAGTTGATAATGTTCCTCTTGCCTCTCTCAGGCTTCACGGTGTCCCAGCAAAATAGCTTTAGGCTGTGTGCATTTGTTCAATAGACTCAACTATGTATTAGGCCCCGAGTGTCGGACGACAACCAACTCTGAGAACTCTATATGCTTTATGGATTGCCTATTCCAAATACTTTTGCAAATTATGATTCCTGATTATATAGTGGTCACTATGATTTGGAGTAGGTTACGATTCGAGAAAAAAGTTTTTGTGTGCATAATAGGAGTGAGATGTAAACCTCGTCAGTGGTGTCAGAGTATCTGGGTTGCCTAGCATCGGTATTACCGTTGGTACTAGTGTGGCATTCAAAGGGCGAACTACATTCAAGACTCAAATAGGTTTGTGAGTGGTCTTGACCACTGTTAACACTCCGTAAAAATTCTGGGAGCAAGGCATGCAGATCCGTAAACAAATTCACTGAGTCTATATATCATACGATCCTGTAATTAATGATTGTCCCTCGTTGAAAAAAATGCATAAGTTGGTTAATTTTGCAGTTTTAAATTTTATTGAATATAACTCGTGTGTATGCCTTTAAATTTTATCTTCATCGAGGATATCGGCCAACGAAGGTCCTTTCTGTTTTCAAGCTCCCTTATTGAGCAACTTGATAATGCTCGTATGAAGAGTATCTATTGTTTTTCCATGTACTCCAACTCCTGCGTGCGGATGATATATAGATCAAATCGTAACTATTACACATACTAAATGAAAACATGTAAAACCTGACAAAATCGAACCAAACTAAGGGTGTTGTGTGAAAGGCGATAACTGCTTTTGGAACTTACCCCTTCATTGGTTCTAGCATACCATTCATTTGGTTTAAAAAGGAGGATGGAAGAGAGTTGCAAAGTGGCCGCACCCAATACCAAACGAGGGTTGTCCTAGAATTGTCACTGTCTGGTTGTGCCAAGGCCTCGGCTTATCATCCTGCGACCCCAAAGCATCCGTGCTGGGCTTACGTCCGTCATGTGGTGGACATTGTCAGAGTCAAACCACTATTAACGAACACACCAAAAACATTTATTCAATCTAGTAATCATTTATATGCAGTTTAAGGACTAATTGATAGGGATCAGTCTCTGCAGAAAACCTTGTATGTGATTCTCCCTTGTTTTTTAGATAAGGTCTATGTCTGATGCAGCGATCTAACTGTATTGCTTGCTTATTGTGACTATAATTGGCAAAGGGAATAATCTATTTTATCTGCCAACCACATAAAGAATGGAAAATAGAAGACTAGGCAATCACAACATGCGTAATGTCCAGCCTTAGCTAGTGTCAGCGACAACAACATATTAATATTTAGACAAATTAAGTATCAGAGACATGAGTAAGAGCTCTAGGCAACCACGTTCGTCTAAGGTCATAAGGAACTTGTAATTGAATTTTCCCACAATAATAAGAGTAGACCTAACTTTTCCATTGCATCTCACTTAGCCTTGATTCTCGGAAGGTATTCTTATCCAGGGTGGGCTGTACGTTCAATTTCACCTAGGTCTCATCAGCCTACCAGCAGGAATCGAACCTGGGTAGCACATCATTTATTCTCGAGACGTGACCACTACGCCACACTGTAACGGTTACCTCATAATAACAGGACAGATCGAAATTTAGAGGAAGGCTAGGCCTCTCCCATATCACGTTTATAGGCGGACTATCGATAAGGCAAACTTGTATTTTGCTAGTGTTGAGCTTACTTCCATTTCGAGTGAAAGTGTTTGGTGAAGAGATTCTAAGGTCGATCCCACCAGAACACGACCAAGTTTTTCTGTTGGCACGCTGTCGACTGGCTTTACTATAACATTCTTGTTAACGCTGTTTCCGAGGTAATCCCTTTTGATTTCTTTGAAAACGTGAGGCGACAAGTCTCTTCATCATAACAGCGATCACAGGATCACATTACCCTATAGCAACCCGATCTGGATAATGGGCCAACTTTATCCTTAAAAGGAGTCATAACTAAAGAAAACCGTTTTTATTTCTTGAGAATAATTATTTCCTAGGTGTGAGTGTAAATGGCATTTGATTAATAAAGAATACCGTTTTGAATGGTGAATACGTAAGGAGAGATAAGGAGAAATTTTCTCACGTTTTGTCTTTATCTACGTGCATTCTCTCTAAAAGGATAGGCAAACTGGAAATGACGTGTGCATTTGGTCGCTTTTGTGTTGGCGAGACTTGTCGTCTCACTCGACAAAGGTTTGCTGAGCACAAAAGTGTCTGCAGAGGCTGTTGGTTTAAAAAATCGGAGCTGGCTGAGCACAAGGCAAGAACTGAATACGAGATTAAATGGTCCCAGACTAAACGTAAAATTAGAGAAGCCATCGAAAAAAAACCGAATATGGAATACATTGAGTGTAGAGAATATCGGCAAAAAGTTAAGTAAAAGCTAATTGTGTTTAGAAGTTGCTTCATCCTGTTTTCGCAACTTGGTCATATTGACAGGAAGACCTAGGGGAACGCACCTTGTCCGGGGTCCATAGTATGCATGGTAATTTCCAGAGTCGAACCGTGGACTTAGTACATTTCCAGACGTTTCTCCAGCATCGTTAGTAAGCCTTGCCATTCTTAGCACCACACTACAACTTGTCAAAGAGACCGCGACCATACAAAAGGCCACATTATCTTGGTTTTCATATCTTCGACTAATTGTGCCTAATTTTTCGCATTTAAGTATTGTTTCGAGACTACCAGTAAGTCAGCAAGGTTATGTGAAATTCAATGGAAACGTTAGCTCTACTCATATCATTGTGGGAAAATTCTTCTATCAGTGCTTCGTCACCTTAAACGAAATTGGGTGAATACATCTCATATTAATTGTGCTTAATTAATTAACTCAAGGATAGAGAGGGTGTTGAGCAACTTTCAAAAGGGAGGCGACTCATCTAGTCTTTTCATATTTTGGTTCTAATCACGATCATTTCTCAGTATTTTCAGACTAATCTTGCTCTCACACATAAAGACATAAAAGTTCACCAACATAACCAGACGTGTGGCAGACCTTGCGTAATCAGAGTGATGATTAAAAGATATGTAGAGGGATGATGATGGTTATCATGCCTTGATGGCCGAGAACAGACGTTACTTTTGCTTTTCTAATAACTTTGAGCCATCACTGTCGGTTTCGTACATTTGCAAACACATGCAGGCACACAGACATATATACTAGTATGTTACGAGGTTGGCATAATGCTGGAACTAACCAAATCACTTTAGTCCTCATCAAAGAGCTCAGGTATAACTTATATACAGCATTTTAGGAATGAGTCGGTAAGTTTTCTTGGCTCTTCAGTTTGAATAAGGTTGTAAGAATGATATCTTGATCTGAAGACGTTGGTCAAACGAAGAGACCAAGAGCTTAACATGCTTTCACCGGAATCGAAGGAGATTACCTCGGAAACAGCGTTAACAAGAATGTTCTAGTAAAGTTAATCGACAGCTTGTAAAAAGAATATGTAGTCGTCTTCTTCACCAAACACTTTCACGAGAAATAGAAGTTAGCTCAACAATTATGAAACAAGAGATTCCTCGAAACCCAACTTTTCTACGTATATACTACGTACGTATTGATTTTGCAGTTATATGGACTGCGTTACTTTTATTCCGATAAATAAGGTTTTCTTGAATAAGAGCAATGTTCAACCTAAGTCGTATAAGGTGATGAAGGACTGATAGTTGAATTTCCCAAAAATTGTATAAATATGCTCCACTATTCCACGTAATTACTGGGAAAAACAAGATAGT